ATTACTCTACTACCACCACTGCTAACCACCATCACTATCGCCCACCATCACTATCGCCATTACTCATGGTTGCCACTATTACCATCGTCACACAAAATCCACCACCACTATCACCGTTGTCACCCACGGTTGCCACCATCACCACGTTCGTCGCCACCCACCACAACAATCACCATCCCACCACCACCATTGTTGCTCACCACCACTACTACTGCTCACCCTCACTACAATCGATACTTAAATTTATTTCTTTCTCCTATATGTTTGTGATTTAATTTTTGGTGTAAATACAAATATGTTTATTATTAACCATTTTTTTCATTACTCCGTGTTTTCAAGCACGAATAATAATTAGTTTATTTATAAGCAATATGTGTGTGGCCACATGGCACTTCAATAATTTCTCTACAAAAATGATACAATTCATAACTAAACATTATTAGCTGACAGTTGATTATTTGATTCATCAGACTAATATTATTTAGATATCATTTATTGACCTAATCAATCATAACTATTAGATTGATAATGAGCCTCAGTATTTATTGAAACATGCTCCCAATCGAATAGTTGTGAATTAAATCAATAATTTATGTCAATAAATTAGATTTGAATAATATTATCGGAATCATCAAGTTAAACAATCAGCATTATGCTTTACACAATAGAACATTATTTAATGTTGTGTTTTTTCTCCCGACTAACTGAGAAAAACAAGTTGAAGAGGCATATTTCATTCGTATTGACTGAGTTTTTCCGCACCATATTTTTATCTGCCTCACAAATTAAACAATCAGCATTATGCTTCCCATAATAGAACAGTACTTGATGGTATTGGGTATCTAACATGTTCCTCGTCATGGGAGAAAATCCTAGAGCCATCATAAAGCTTTGTCTTGTCAGATTTTCTTGTTGGGTCCATTGTTAATTGCTTTTGCTTTTACTTCTAAACTTTTTTTTAGTATAAATTATAATTTATACCATTAAAATATGCACCATACTCATATTTAGTACCTGAAATTTTTGTAACACCCCCTCCACATGACATAATATTGTTCACTTTGGGCCTATTAGCCCTAACGACTTTGTTTCTCCCAGTATTCTTGAGAAAAGACCTTATGCCATGTAATGTAAGGGGCTTACTAATAATTCCAGTCACTTTTCCCTCCTTAACTGATGTGGAACACTAGAATCTCACAATCCACCTCCTTAGAGGGGCATGTCCCTGTGTAGCAGCTCGCCAGCTACCTGTCCACCCACTACACACGAGCACGTCAAGGGCCCACACTCGATCCAGGCGAGAGTCGGCTCTGATACCAACTTGTAACACCCCCTCCACATAACATAATATTGTCCATTTTGAGCCCACTGACTTTCAGTGCTTTGTTCCTCCCAGTATTCCTGGAAAAATGCCTTATGCTATGTAAGGCAAATGACTTACTAATAAGTCTAGTTACTTTTTCCTCCTTAACCGATGTGAGACACTAGAATCTGACAATTTTAATTATAATAATCAAATTTTTTGACTTTTAGTGTAATTCTTACATCAAAATTCATTAATTTATTATGACAAAAAATCATTCGTGACTAACATATGACTTGAGTGAAAAAGATATATTTTGTCTGGTGATATATTTTTTTTACTTGCATAGTAGAAAACCTTATTTTATTTCATACGATTTAAGTGAAAAGAAGATAACAATTCCGAAAAAAAAGATACAAAGTAAGTATTTAAGATATATTATTGGATGAACAGAAAAAAACTTATTGTTTGAGGGAGATATTTTTTACTTGATAAGTATATTCTTATGGCCGGCAAGTCCTCTGACATCATTCTGTCAGGATAAGTTAATACATGTAGGTGAAATGACTTGATTGAAACTTGGTTAAAATTTGAAGGATGCATTTATTTCAATTAAACCTTCAGTGCCAAATAAAAATTGTTTGCATAATTTAAAATTTAAAATTATAAATGAAACTTTTTGTTTAAATCTTTTGGTAATAAGAAATCGTTTTAACCATTTATTTTATAAATTCGTTACTAAAACTCAAAACTCAAATGTAGGTCATTTTTTTATACAATTAGTGAATGTCGAATTTGTAAACCCTAAAGATATATCAAATAATAATAAGGATAAATTGAAAAATTCAATCTTTGGATGTCAGGTCAGGAGGAATTTTTTCTTATGAATATTTTAGTTTCAGTATGAATAACCTATTTTTGACCAAACTAAAGAAATGATTAATCGAAATAAACGTAAATTGATCCGAATATCCTAACCATTAAAAAAACAAATATCCAATTTGTGACATGCAAATTTGCACATAACTCACGATTCCACTAGTATATCCACTCTCTTGTTGATGACTGTTCTATTACAAGAATGAATTTAGAGCTCGTTGTTATGACTTTTAATTATGAGTTACATTAATCAAAAGAAATATATGATATAATTTTTTATATATTATTATACACGATTCATATATGATACGAACCTAATTTGACATGATAAGTTAGATATAATTTAATAAATGAATCATATATAAATAAAATATTTTTTTGACATAATCCTCTCTTAAGTAACACTTTTTTTTTTTTGGCATTCATATAACACGATTAACAAACCTAAGATTAAGAGAGCACTTTGGAGTTGAAAAGTTATTTACAAATTCAAATAAATAAAAAAATAAAAAATAAAAAATTATTTAATAAAATTGATATACAATTTTTTAAAATTATGCATTGATTGAGTTCTTTTTATCTAAATTTGATAATCATAGTGAATTTTAAATTTTTAACGGATTCAAATAGATATGATATGATTGGATTCGGATTAAAATTTCCAAAATCAAGTTCAAATGCAAATAAAAAAATCCGACCCAAATCGTGATCCGTTGTCGGTGCTGATTTGTTGGCATTCCACCGGCACTTCGCAACCAATACGGCGGCGTGTGAATTCACGTGATCTAAGACGGTGGATGAAAGAAATCACGTCAAAATCACAAAGCAACTTTACCTCCGTTGATTTGGTTAAGGTACAGTCGGTCGACTTGGCTTTTTCCTCGGTAGTAGTAGAGAGAGAGAGAGAGAGAGAGAGAGAGAGAGAGAGAGAGAGAGAGAAGACCGTATACGGAAAAAGCATACGGTCGTGTCCTACACATCCTCTCAGTGAGAATAGGGGTGGGTCCCACGTGCCATTTCCAACAACAACGCTTCTGTTTCTGTTTTCTGTTGTAACGCCCTCGTTCTCTTGGCCCCACATCACACTGCCTTGTGCGAGAATTACCGAGCTACCCCTTTTATTTCGATACCATTAGTTGGGACTCAATTGCTCATCTTGACCAGAGTACCCTTCTTGGGTAAAAAATATTTATTACAACGTTTATATCATATCAATAATGTCATGTAACATAATTATTTAGTAGTAATTAAATAAATGAAATTATATTAATAATTAATTAAATAAACAAGTAAGGTGGCCTAATGGGATACCGACCTTACTCCTTACTTTGAGGTTAGGAGTTTGAGTCTTGAAGTCTCTATTGGGACTTGGTGGTTGGTTGTTATGCTAGCCTAGTTAGGTGTAGTCCCGAGAGGTGTTCTAGGAACGGTCAGCGGCCTTATGATTTCACTGGTGAGAGTCTATCGGGGTGGTCGCTGGACACTCTTTCTTGCCCACACCCCTTCTTTAATTTATCAAAAAGAAAAAAAAATTAAATAAATGAAGAAAGTAAATCTCACTCCTCCAAATAACTGACCTTTTATATAAGATAACTAGTAATATTCGTACTTGAAAACACAAAACAACATAAAAATTAAGTCCACTATATAAAATAGCAAATTGTGCCATTAAATGGAGTGATAGTTATTGATTTGTGCGGGGTGCACTTACTTTTTTGTTAACATATTAATACAGTAGTAATAAACCTATGTTTAAAGATACTATATAATATTGAAAATTAAATTAATCTTCTAATATTTGTATTTTAAATAATAATTTAATTTTTTTAATTACATAATTTAAAATTAAAATAAATAGAGAAATAAGTATGAATTGATGTGAGTGTCTGATATTTGAGACTATGTTGATCAAGTTATTTGATGTTGGGATCATGTTTTAAGTTGATATTTTTGGACAAAATAAAAATTTTTAGGATGAATTTTGTACTATTGAATTAAAATAAATAAAAATTAAATCAATTTTAACAATTATTGTGTTTTTATAAGTTAATAATTTAATTTTTTTAACTGTAATATTAGATAAATAGTAATGTTATGTGGCATGACATTAGTGTTACATCGAATGTTTCTCTCATAAGTGAGCGTTTAGAGGGTACAATGGTCAATCTATACATACTAAACTTGAGAGCATCAGGAAAAAAAGTGTGGTATTTTTGTTATTAGAATAAAAATCAGGGGCAAAAGATAGTGGAAATAAGTACCCCATCTGTCTCCCCAGAAGTAACTCTTCGCACGTTGAGGTTACGATTCAAGAGGGGCTCCTGCATATGCTGACGCTGCTTCACCAGAAACCACCACCTCTCTCTCTCTCTCTCCATCATCTGCTTCAAACCTTAGCTCTCTTGTTTTCTCTCTCTTGATCGATGTTGTTTCTTGAGCTTTCTCTGCAACTCTCATGGGCGTAGATTCGGTTTCCAAGAAAAAACTTCACGCAACGGCATTTGATGTTAATCCTCTTCCGAAATGGCGCATATCCATCGATTCCTGTTTTCTCTGTTCAACTTCTGATCTCAAGAAATCGGTTTAAGATTTGTATACATGCCTACACACACATATAAATATATAGCTCAGATATGTGGTGATATCAGCTGATTTTGGTGAACAGACGAAATGTAGTTGTATACATTCAAGAGTTTGTTATTCTCCTTAATTTTTATATATCCACACAATAAATTTTGGGGCTTTTGGGATCTACAGTTGATTGACGAGGTGTTATAGGTTCAGACTTGATGAATTTTTAAGTGTTTTGTTTCGATCGATGAGGAACTTTCACTGGTTTAAGCAAATTGGCAACAGTGGCAAGCTCGAGAGGCGACTCTCTTTGGGAGAGTATAAACGAGCTGTGTCATGGTCCAAATACTTGGTCTCGTCCGGTGCGGAGATAAAAGGGGAAGGAGAAGGGGAATGGACTGCCGATATGTCGCAGCTATTTATAGGTAATAAATTTGCTTCAGGTAGGCATAGTAGGATTTATAGAGGAATATATAAGCAGATGGATGTGGCAATTAAGCTTATGAGTCAGCCTGAGGAAGATGGGGACTTGGCTGCTTTCCTAGAGAAGCAATTCACTTCGGAGGTTGCATTGTTGTTTCGATTGAAGCATCCGAATATCATCACTGTAAGCTTTTGTTTCGTCTGTGTGTGATGATTTGTTGTGTGCATGGATGTGCTTACATTGTGGGTTATGGTATATAGGTAATATAGAACATTAGATCATTTGCTGTTCTTAATGTGCTTGGATGAAATTTGGTGCGAATGTATGATGGAATTGCTTTTGTTCCGCTGCTTGGCATTTGATTGAAATTGTTAAAGACACAAGAAATTTACTGCGAAAGTTTAAATAGTTTTTTATCATGGTTTCAGTGTTAACGACATCACTGTCATTGTTGTGAAGATTTATTAAAATTTCCATTTGGTGTCATCGAAAAGTGCATATTCCCTGCGCTTTCAGTTGTGGACCACTTAGGCCTGTTGATTGGTTATTACCTGATTGCATCATCCATTATCTTTCCCTTTCACTACTCTTTATAAAGAAGGTTTGTGGCCCCACCAGCAGCACTGGATACTTTATGTAGAAGCAATTATTCTTCCCCTAGCTTGCAACGATGACTTACAAATCTTAACTTCTGTTATCAATTGGATCTAGTATTGTCAAGTTTCTTTCATTATTTGTGTGACAAACATAAAATAATAATCCATTCTTTACCGTAATTCTGTGTGCTAGAACTTCCTCAAATGAAGTTTGACCTGTGGAGCTTATATTAATGCAGTACTTGGATCAAATTGGACGGTAAGGGATAGCGGGAACGGTTTCCATTGAGCTGAATGTGAAAAATAAACATACTTGATTGTGCGTAACAGGGAATCCAATTTATAATTGATGAACTTTGTCTTGGCTGTTATTCGATTAAATTATAAGCTTTCAGAGTAAACCTGGCCACAATTTTGTATCATTTCAGAGTATCACAATTTATATGCAGGATGCAGGATGCTCGTGCTATTGATATTAATTAGGGACCACTACCAATAATGTGAATGAAATGAACTTAAAATTTTTAATGATTTTTGATAGCAATATTTCCATACACCCTAGCCACTGTTTCAAACGACAACAAATCAATTGTTATGAAGACAAACCCCAACATCAGAAACATATATTCACAATATTGCAAAAATGTGTTCGGAGTCGATGATTGAGACATACTAAACTCAGATATTTTGAGGTCCCAGAACTGTCGGTCCTCAAATTTTAACTTTGAGTGTTTGTCGACAATTTCTAGATTTTAGGAAATTGACGATGCCACACCTTGAAATAAAGGAGAAAAAATCTCCTTGGCGCTTGCTAAAAACGGTTGTGGATTTGATGAATTCAGTGACTTTGCTCTAAATTGTTTGGTTCTGTGGTTTATGACATCAAGTGGTTTGTCAAACAATTCGGAAAATTGAACTTGCATATCATTTTACCATTTATTTCACCTCTAAGTATCATTCCACCTCTTTTATGCAGTTTGTTGGAGCATGCAAGAAGCCCCCTGTGTTTTGTATCATCACTGAGTATTTGGCTGGGGGCTCCCTGAGAAAATACCTCCATCAGCAGGAGCCATATTCACTTCCCCTCAACCTAGTTTTGAAGTTGGCCCTTCACATTGCACATGGGATGCAATATCTTCATTCTCAGGGGATACTCCACAGGGATCTCAAATCCGAAAATCTACTGCTTGGTGAAGATATGTGTGTGAAAGTGGCAGATTTTGGTATCTCATGCTTGGAATCGCAATGTGGCAGTGCGAAAGGATTCACAGGTACCTACCGTTGGATGGCGCCAGAAATGATCAAAGAAAGGCACCACACAAAGAAAGTTGATGTTTACAGTTTTGGGATCGTCATGTGGGAGCTTTTAACTGCATTGATACCATTTGACGACATGACTCCAGAACAGGCTGCTTTTGCAGTCTGCCAGAAGGTATTTCCATGTGGATGTGGTGGTATGATGATTTTTTTCAATATTTTTCAAACAGGAACATGCTATGACAAAATTCTCTCCATCAATAATAAATTCATCCTTTTGGCATTCACATTTGTTTTGCATCCTCTTTCTCCTTTGTGGTCTTCGTGCATTATCTTGGAAAGCTTGCATGTTAACATCTAATGACTAATTGGAAGTGATCAAAATTTAGATCAGGCAATCTTATGTAGTTTATATAGGCAAGGGGTGCGATTTATGAAAGATAAGGTGACATATTGGAAATAAAAAAAAAAAAAGGAACTTCAAAAAAGGAGAACTAAGTTTTTTTCTTGTTTTCCTTAGTTGAAACTTGAAACTACGAAATCTTTGATATTTGTGGAACTGCATGTTGAAGATAACCCATTATTGAAGATGTTAAACAGTCATATACTCCAAAAACTTAAGTTTTTAGAGATGGTGTAACTTAAGTATTTTAACAAGCCTGCTTACGTGTAGGTTAGGTTTTGGGCCTAGCACGTAAAAAACTTTTAATTATTAGGGTGGTGATGAGATTCGAACACAAGATGTCCTGCTTTGATATCATGTTAAATAATCATGTACTCCAAAAGTTTAAGGTTTTAGAGAAAGTGTAACTTAAGTATTTATATTTCAACAGAAGATCACAAAGAGTCTACTATTTCATTAAAAAGTTATATCAAATTAAGGGTTGTGCTCTAGGACAGATGTAGTTGAAGAAAGAGGTCATATTGTAATTGCTAGCAATATCTGTGAGTGAGATAACGTAAAGCATTAGCTCAAGAAGGGATTAGAATGTCCTGCTAGTATAAATTTCTGTATTGCTGAACCATACCTTAGAGGCTTGTTGCAATAATAACTTGTTTGGTGACATGAATTGTCTTCAGATCCTAAACTTACAAGTTTTCATCACTTTAGCGTTTGCTTACACTTCCTTTCCACATCCCTCCAGTCCAATTCTAATTATCTGAAGTTTTTGTGAGATGTTTAAGCTTGGCGGCTCCAGTTTTTCAAAGTATGCTAGTTAAAGAGTTCTCAAGTTTAATTTTTCAAATACATTTGTCCCCTATATATATTATCTTGCTAGGAGATCAATTTTATTCATGGTGTTCTTTTTCTCTTGTTATATTTATGTCTGTTTTTTTTTCCATCCAGTATCAATGATGCAGAAGGTTGAGCCAGTCCTATTACTTGGGGTTTCAGGCACCAAGATTGATATATTGAAATATTATATTGAGCTCATTTCGGCGTCTTCTATGATGTTTGATTTTTTTTCCTCTTTGAAATGGGTGGTTTTTATTTTACTCTCTCTATTTAGGTGGGCATGTTTTCTTTTATCACTTGGGTATATTACTTTTAGTGGAACATCTGAACATGGAACATTTTTCGCTATGGTTTCTTAATTTCACCTGACTAGCTATGATTAGGAAAATGAATGTCACGTCACAATAAAGAATCCAAAAGCTTGCCATCTTACATTTATTCATGACCGGCACAAAATGAAATGAAAGAAGATTGGATCATGAAAAGAATCGAGGAGGTGGCCCTGATTTTCTCGTCCCTTACTCTAACTCAGTGAAACAATGACAGATGTTCTCTTTCTGTGTGTGTCCGTACTCCCCCTATACAACTGGATAAATAACCTCATTTGAAAGTTAAAAAAAAAAAGACAACTGTCAATTCTTTCCATGGGTATGCATCCAGGTTCTGTGGATAGAGTGTTCTAAGGCAAGGGGACCAAAACATTAATATTTTCCAAAAATGTTTACTCTTGCATCTTTGATGGTGCCCATTTATTACTGTCAAAAGTTCTTAATTTTCCTATGATACATTGATTTGGACTTTCTACAGAATGCTAGACCGCCATTGCCCTCCTCGTGTCCTATGGCCTTTCGTCATCTCATTAAACGATGCTGGTCAAGTAGTCCTGAAAAGCGTCCCCATTTTGAGGAGATTGTGACAATTCTGGAGAGTTATGTGGCGTCTCTTGAGCAGGATCCAGAATTCTTTTCATCCAATGAACATCCTAATGATCATGCTCTTTTGAGATGCCTACCAAAATGTATTGCTGCCTGTAGATCAACTTCCTTGAGAGCATAAGATATTTTATGAAATCATTTATGTGTGATGGGTAAATGTATCATATTGTTCTTTTCTTGCTTAGGTCTCTGTTATGTAATTAGGATTAGAGTTCTGTTTTCGCTCCTTTTCATGTGTGGGCATAGGTTGGTAGTTTTCTTTCACTGTAATGCCTATTGATTTCCCTCTCAATTCGAATGGGAATGTAAAATAGAATCTCCTTTTGTTTCCTTTTGTTTCTGTTGTCCATGGGCAATATAATCATTTACATGAAAAATGTATGGTTATAGTTGTTATAAATCTGGAGGTCCCATATTTATTTATATTGCTTACCAAACATAGGATTGAATTGAATTTACGATTGAATCTGTGGTAGAAATCCCTTGAGTTGGGTTTGAAGGGATTTCCTAAAATCAATCCCATCCCTTCCATGTGGATCATCCAGACATGCCCATGGAGGGTGGCCTTTGTAGTTCGAAATTATTTGCAATATTGTAATCCCCACTGTTGTATAACAATTTATATTTATTATATAAGAGCATCTGTAAGTCCATCTAAAATAATATTTCGTTGTAGTAATACTCTATATTTAGAGTATTATTGTAGTGATATGTAAAATTTTTTTTATAATATTTTCTCTCTCTTCCTCTCTTTTCCTCCATTCTCTCTCTTTCACTATTCCCAAAAAAAATAATACAAAAGGAATGAGAAATAAAATTTAATAAGAGTACTTAAAAATATAAAAAATCTGTTGGGATGTGTATTGAAAAAGTGAGTAGCTAAAATAAAAAATGTTACTTTTTGAGTTCCTAAAATAATTTTTATTGTTGGAGATGCTCTAAGATAGTTAGCATTTTAAACTTCATCCTCATATATTTTTTCCGCTCATTTATAGCACATCATGCTACAACTTTAGAATTGATCACCCCAAGTGCAGGTTGTGCAAAATAATAAATTTCTCGGGAGTCCGAGGTTGAACCACAGGGTATTGAGAAAAACTTAGAACACAGAGAAAAATAAAAAAAAATTGTTTTGAAAAAATATTGTTGTAGATATTTTGAAATTTAGAAAACAATAAATTTAGTTTTTAAAACAATAATTGAAAATACCAGAGCATCAGGTATTCCCTCTCAATTTCATACAATAATGATTAATGACTTAATTCTTAACCTGAGACAAGAATCAGATGTCGGTTGATTCAAATAAAAAATCAAGTAAGAAAACTAAAAATTATAATCAAAAGATTATTCAGGAACCTGAATAATCATCCAATTATATTATTTTACGAAATAATGATAATTGCCTCAAACGTGGAATAACTAGTTCTTTACTCGCAGAGAAATTCAAGCAATCGATGTATATGACACAACGACTTAAGGATTTTTACAGAGCAAAAATTTTGCTATAAGATCAGAAGTTAAATTAACAAAATATCATAAATTGTTAAACTCAGAATCAATAACATTACCGTATTTCATTGAAAGGTTCTCCCCTAACTTTAGCTTAGCCTTTTAGCCAGACACGACGAACTAAAATAAAAATAAAAAAATTAGAAAAAAAATAATAATCTCTAAATGAGAACCCCTATTTATACTCAAAATAAATCCTAAGTATAGATAAAAAATATAAGGTTAACTTAGAAGAAATTCCTTTCCCAAAAAGAAATGTTGTAAGGTTAAATCTCATGCATAAAATCTTTGGAGAGCGGGTACAAAATCTGTTCAGAATTCGATTTTAAATTTTGCATATTTAGAGGTTGATTTACGAAAATTTCATAAAATACACTTTTGTAGCCCTTGGAGTTTTCTTTCCAACCCCGCAAAAATCAAGTAAATCGGATATCAGAGTCAAAAGTTATAACCAAAATACTGTAAACGTGTTAAATCCTTATCTTCTAGGATAATTTCCTAATCCAATTCTAAATGAGTTTTCTTCAAACTTAGACTCTTACAATGATTAAATTGATGTCATATCTTTAAGTCTTCCTATCTCAATCTTGACTCTTCAATCCTCATCAATTATGATTCTTCCTCTAATGATTGCTTAACTTGTCTTTTTCATTATTACTTTAAATCAACCAATTTACCTGCAAAATAAATCAAACAACCAAAAAAAGTATCAAACTAGAAAATCAAAGAATTTAACATATTTAATCACAAATAATATACAATTAACCAATCATTAAATATAATAAAATAATAATTTTGATGGTTAATCACATCAGTTATTTTTATCATAAGTAGAATCATTTAATTTGTACATTATTCGTGTATGATAGTATTCACATAATGATATTTTTTGGAGATCATATATTTTGAAAAAAATTTGTGGATTTTTTTAAAAAAAATAATTGTTACAAATTAATTTTAAATTATGTAATTAAAAAAAAGAAAGAAAGAATTGATATTAATTTTTTTAGGCGCTTGAATTTTATGATGTTTAAAGACACGAGTTATAACTAATCGTTATAATACAAAAGAACATAAAAATGACTTTTACTTTTCGTGAGATTGTTTTAAATTTTAGCAATGCTACATGGACTTAAAAAATAGACTTGATAATTACAACCATTGATATTACTGTGGGTCCCAACATTTATTGAGATTCACTACCTATTCAATGGTTGAGATTATTAAATCTAATCTTTAAGTCTACTTTTAAGTCCATCTAGCATTACTTTTTAAATTTTATTTTAAAATTAATCAAATGGCTAATATTATTTTTCCAATTTTAATATAAAAAATAGACCTCTTAGGGTTTGTTTGGGTTGATTTTTCAAAAGTGCTTTTACGACTTTTGACTTCTCGTAAGCATTTAAAAAAAAATTTATTTTTGAAACAACTTATTTTAATTACTTCCAAGCAAGTCAAAATTAATTTTACCACTTAAGTAACTAAAAGTAAAAAATTATAATTTATTTCTTGAAAATCACTTTCCTACAAAACCCTTCAACACCATCGTCGCTGTCGCCGTTGCCAACCCACCACCATCACTACCACCCACACCCCCACACCCACCGCCACACATTACCATAACCCATTATCTGTTGTCGCCCACCACCGCCGCCACCCACTGCCATCTACCCCCACCATTGCCGCCTCCCATTATCACCCACCCCCACCACATCTACCACCACCTCCGCTATTCGCCACTACCCATCACCACCATCGTCCACAAGCACCCGTTGTTGTTCACCCCCACTCACACTTATCACCATCACCGTTGTCGTCTCACCATCACTACCACTATCAACTATTATCAGCATCGCTCACCACCACCATTACCACCGTCACCCCATGGTTGCAACTATCACCATTGTCACCCAAAAGCCACCAGCATTGCTGCCATCACCACCATGATCATTGTTGTCGACCACAACTATCATCGTCTCCCACCATCACCACTATCATCGCTCACCTCCATTAAAATTGGTGCTTAAATTTCTTTCTCTCTCATCTATTTTTATGATTTGATTTTGAATATGAGTACAAATATGTTTAAGATTGATAATTTGGGCTAATTATATGATATTGAAGCTTATTAGGAATGTAGAGACAATCGTAATGTATCAAATTTAGGGTAAGGGTGCTTTTTAATTGCTGGGTGTTAGTGAAATAATCTCTAAGAATATCACCTATATGATATTATTAAAGGGGAAAACATTGTTTGATCTCTTGATGCCTATTATTTCGGCATTATGGTAGGACTACAACATCGAACAGTTATTTTTCAAAATCATATTTAAATTTACTATAAAATAAGAGTAAAATTATCATTCAATTTAACGAGGATCAATCTTAGATTATTTTAGTTTCAACTTAACATATCATGTTTTAACTGAGTTTTTCTTAGTCGTAAATTGACACCGCATGAGTTATGATTAATTTATCTTTATTTGCAATTTTTGGTGCAATACCTGTTTTGACACCATAATTTTACTCATTATTAAGCAATTAGCAACTATATTCAACTGCAATAATTAATTCCATATTCCAATAAACTATTGATACCTCACCCACCCTCTCCCCCTTCTCATATTGCACTTGTGTAGTGGCATGGAGAGTGCTTTCCCTCGAGTCAAACATTGTATCAAGTTTTTGGACTGGCTACGAGAGATTTATATTTCATAAATATCTTAGTTTCAGCGTGGATAATTTATCTTTGATCAGACTAAAGAGAGAATTAGTCAAAGTGTACATAAGTTAATTCGAATACCCTTACTTTTGAAAAAAAAAAGAAAAAACATTGTAACAAGTGACAATGGTCTAAGGACAGATCTAGGTTTAGCTTTACCTATCAATTTGGCTTGGCTGCTACTAAAATAATCTCATGGGTTTCCGCAAACAATAAAAAACAAATATATGGTATTTGGACCTAATTCATTAATCTAATGCAGAAGAACCATTAAATTGGTTACCGGTCTCAATTAATATTGGGATTCATTATCAATTTGATGTTAGCAATTCGTTAGGTTGATAAATTAAGTCTAAACAGCGTTCCTTATAAACAATCTATAGTTTTTTGTTCCATATCATGTTATACACAGTAGTATTAATAAAATATTAAAACTTCATTTAGCATAAAGAGGACAGTTTGGCCGAGTGGTCTAAGGCGCCAGATTTAGGCTCTGGTCCGAAAGGGCGTGGGTTCAAATCCCACAGCTGTCAACCTTATTTTTTGAGAAACTTCCATTAACACCGGCGATTCTCATGGTGTCAAAATACGACCCGAAATTTGAGAATTGGATATTTTTTAGTCAACGAGTGATCCAATATGATATGATAGATTAAATGTGTTTCTGGGTTAAACACGAAATTAGTTATATTATTTAACGAATTTGTCGATTTAACCCGTTAATTATCTGAATTTTTTAAGATTATATCTAAACTCATTAAATTCGTGTCAATTTTATAAGTTGTGTCTAAGATTGCCAAGTCTAATCTTACCTAATTAAGTTTTAAGCTAAATAATCTATCTGCAAGATTTGGTATAATCTTCTTCACTCCTCGAGAAATCACATT